AAACACAAGGAGAGACACTGTTTGACTTGGAGACCCCCTTCATCAAACCAACGCTGGACACAAATAGACCACATAGCAATAAGCTATCGTTGGCGTGGGTCGGTAGGAGATTGTCGCTCCTTCTGGAACACGTGCGTAGATACCGACCATGCACTGGTCCGCGCTCGGGTGTGCTTACGACTGAACGGACGTAGGAAACAGCTGGCGGTAAAACCATCACGTCCCCAGCTCGATCAGGAAACTAAATCCGTATTTGAGGAAGAACTAGCTAAACACATATCTGTGTTCGACAGCTGTGCTCACCCTGAAGAAGCTTGGAAAAATATCCAGGCAGCCATAGATACAGCTGTAAAAGCTGTGAATAAGGTAAACCCAAAGGTGAGTAAAAACCACTGGATCTCCACCGCCTCATCCGAACTGATAGATGCTAGAAGACTTATTCCGGCGAGCTCCGAATTCAATGAGGAGCGAAAGCTGCACAAGAGGAAACTTACGAAAAGTCTCCGCAAGGACCGTGAACAGTGGTGGGCGACAAAAGCCAAAGAGATGGAGAAAGCTTCGAGGATAGGCAACACCAGGCAACTCTTTGGACTCATCAGGGAAACGGGTGGGAGAAGACAAATCATTAGTGAGACAATCTCGGAAAAAAATGGCACTATAATTAGCTCACAGGATAGACGACTGGATCGTTGGAAAGAGCATTATGAGGAGCAGTTTAATTTGCCCACAGCCACGCTCAACCTTCCGAGCATCCAACACCTCCCTGAATGGGATATAGACACAGGTCCTCCGTCACTAACTGAGGTTACTAAAGCTGTCACCAATCTGAAACTAGGCAAAGCAGCGGGACCTGATGGAATGACTCCAGAGGTATTTAAGTACGGTGGAGACAGCTTACTGTCCGGATTAACTGAGGTACTAGGCAGCGTCTGGGAATCAGAAGAAGTCCCATCGGGTTGGTGTAAGTCACTGATTATCCCCATATACAAGAAGGGAGACAAGTCTTCCTGTGATAATCACAGAGGGATTAGCTTGACTAATATAGTATCTAAAGTCTTAGGCTCAATAATCATGCGTAGACTGAGTGGTGCTCGGGAAGCACAAACACGAGAGAGCCAGGCAGGCTTTAGACCAGGAAGAGGGTGTATTGATCATATCTTCACCCTCCGACAGATTCTAGAACATAGGCATTCCTACCGGCGTCCAACAGTCATTATATTTCTTGACCTAAAGGCAGCATTCGACTCTGTCGATCGGGAAGTTCTCTGGAGATGCTTGGCTGTAAAGGGAATTCCGAGAAAATATATTGCACTGATTAAGGCACTCTATTCGTACTCATACAGCCAGGTGAGGGCTTACGGCGAGCTGTCATCTGAACTGATGACGACCAGTGGTGTCCGTCAAGGATGCCCATTATCTCCTTTTCTATTCAACTTCATCATAGATGTGTTAATGGACTTAACCCTAGGTGACTTCAGCGATTCAGGGATTGACTTGCTACCTGGGAATAATCTCGTTGACTTGGAATATGCAGACGATATAGTCCTTCTAGGCGAAGACGCTGACGAAATGCAGAGTCTTCTAAACACCTTGAACAGCAATCTACGAATGTTTGGCATGCGATTCGCTCCCGCCAAATGCAAGATGATGTTACAGGACTGGACTACGCCGGCGCCTAGTTTAAAAATAGGAAGTGAAGTGGTAGAGCACGTTGACCGCTTCACTTATTTGGGAAGTACCATCAGCCCCAACGGGCTGATCTCTGACGAAATCTCAGCACGAATACAAGGGGCTCGTTTCGCATTTGTTAGTTTACGCCGACTCTGGCGTAGACGAGATGTTCGACTATCGACCAAAGGGCGGGTGTACTGCTCATCAGTCCGCTCCGTCCTCCTTTATGGTTGTGAGACCTGGCCACTGAGAGTGGAAGACATGAAAAGACTAGCTGTCTTTGATCATAGGTGCCTGCGTTCTATTTCCCGTGTAAAGTGGCATAATAAGGTGAGCAACATGGAGGTTAGGCGTAGAGTTCTAGGTAAACAGGGGAAATCAATCGACGAAGTCGTGAAGCTACATCGACTGAGATGGTTAGGACATGTGTTACGTATGCCAAGCCATCGCCTCCCTCGACGAGCAATGTTAGCGGATATAGGGTCAGGCTGGAAAAAAGCTAGCGGCGGTCAAACAAAAACTTGGCATCAGTCAATGAAATCCACAACAGTTGGTCTTAGCCACGTAGGAAGGTGTAGACTTCCAGGCTGGGGTCCTCGGGACGGCAAAAATCTATGGTTGGAAACAATTGGTGACATGGCTCAAAATCGTTCTCAGTGGCGCAGATGCATCCACTCCCTGTGACTTATGATCTCCAATGAAACTGTTTTGTATTTCTTTATTACTCCTTTGTCTCACACCTCTGCTCACTGTTTCTATTTGCTTTTCTTGTACTTTCTTCTCTTGCTTCGCGTGCTACACGGAATGTGGCGACTTGAACTTCCGCACATTTGTGCAAAGTTCTATGTCGAAAACAGACAGACAGACAGGTATGTAGGTAAAGGAGGTTGTTTCTTTCAAGTTCCTCCCATTTATGCTGGCTGATTGTTGTCTGTTGTTGCTGATGTTGGTAAGGAATCTTCATCACATCTGTTTTTTCTATGTTCACCTGAAGGATATCCTATCTTTGATGCTTCTTCTATGGCCAACTTGTTGTTTTTCACTTGCATATCTTCCAGTTTGTGGGAAATCAGACATATATAATCGGCGTCAGAGACTCAGGGATTAACTTGCTACCAACAGGGAATAATCTCGTTGACTTAAAATATGCAGACGCTGACAAAATGCAGAGTCTTCTGAACACATTGGGGAGCTGCAACCTACGAATGTTTGGTATGCGATTCGCTCCTCCTGCCAAATGTAACATGATGTTATAGGACTGAACTGGACTACACTGACTCCTAGTTTAGAAATAGGAAGTGAAGTGGTAGAGCACGTTGACCGCTTCACTTATTTGGGAAGTACCATCAGCCAGCGCCAACGGGTTGATCGCCGACAAAATCTCAGCACGGATAAAGAGGCGGCTAGTTTCACATATATGGCAGTTTACGCTGTCTCTGGCGTAGACGTTATATCCGGCTGCGTGTCGACCAAAGGGCGGGTGTACTGCTCATCAGTCCGCTCCGTCATCCTTCATCGCTGTCAGTGGGACCTGATCATTGACAGTGGAAGACATGAAAAGGCCGACTAGCTGTCTTTCATCATAGGTGTCTCCGTTCTATCTCCCTTGCTAGGAGATGGTATAATAGGGTGAGCAATATTGAGGTGAAGCTTCGGACGAGTGCTAGCCAGATGGGGGGGAGGGAGGAAATCACTTGAAGTTATCCAGGTCACCACTGTTCAGTACTACCCACTGGTTTCCTTTTGAATGATCCCTTTTAACTGATGTTGATTCGTGATGAAATCTAACAAATAAAATTAACTAGTTAGAGGACCATTGATGCTCACTAGAGACTGGCTACAGGATGAAGTTGCCTGGTGGGGTCCGTCCAGTCAGGAGTGAGGATGGAGTTCCCACCGATAACATCGGTTGGTGCCAGTTGTGCTAAAAACATCACTAATTAGTAGGAGTTAGAACTCATGGTCTGGTCATTGAATCGGGGTCTCAGTTGCTGGAATGGTATACGAGCCAGCTTGCCTTGTAACCAGAAGGTACTGGGTTCGCAACCCAGTGGGTAAAAACCAGGATGAAACAACTGTCCAGTACTCCTAGTTAGTTGGTGTTGGTGGTTTTCAATAAACCTCTAGCTGATATCGATCCGTGTTCTAACCAGAAACAAATAAAAATCCCTACTAAAAATCGATAATCTAAGCACTTTATTCTTTATTAATTATGGACATATATAACCATAGAAACTGATTAAGAAAAAGTTATCAAAAATGTCCAATAGCTTCAGTTTCTTTTGAAAATTGTATAACAGGTATTATCATTAAACAATTACGATTTCACGTGGTTTGCAGCTGATGAGAACCTGTGAAACAGAATGATATTTATTATTTTATCTGCAAATCTGGTCTTTCTTTCTCTATCGAAATTTATTATCAAGGGAACCAAATGCATAAAATTATGAGTCTAATTGCACTAATGGCTGGTTCAGTGATAAGCATACTCTCCAACCACGCGTGAAGTGGCCCAGGATTCGATTTCCGGGAGGCATCTCTGAGAGAGATGTAAGGTTGGATATGTCAGGCTAACGATCCCACCACCCCGTATAAAAAAAACAAAACACAAAAATACAAACAAACACCATAGTGATATTAAAATTTCAAAGAGCTTAACGCGCTTGAAGCGCTAGGTCCCACCACCACACTATTGAAATGCACAGAATCAGAAAATCGATAAATAATCGTAATAACAGAATTTAATTGGTGGATGGTGACTAGCGGCAGTGGAATCAAGGATAATGTGCGCATTTCGTCCTATTTGGGACTCGTTTTCCACTAGCTGGATGTACCTGCATTCCCTAGTCAGTGAGTGATGATGTTTCCACCACCGGGGCTCGAACCCAGTGCCCATAATTTCAAATGACCACTCAGTCCAATCAATCGACGAGAGAATCTAAAAAATTCAATTAAATAGTTAATATGACCTGTCGCACAAGAGGTGGTGGCTCAAGTGGTCTAGTGGATAACACGCTTTGGGGTTTGAGACTATGTCCCCTGGCTTCGAGCCTCCGTAGTGGGAACATCATCACTCACTGACTGGGAAATGCAGGTACATCCAGATGATAGGTCCCGGATAGGACGAAATCTGCATTATCCTGGATTCCACTGCCACTAGTCACCACCGTTGAAGCATCTGCACAAGAACCCGACAGACATGTGTCACCCTGAGACTGAGCACTTCAATCCAATCACAATCGACGGAAAAATCTAAAATTCAACTCAATTAAATAGTGATAATAATAATGATAGTAATAGTGATAACAACAAAAATCTAAGCGGCTTACATGTGATGAATTCACTCGATTCAAGTTAGAGACCGGTGTAGTAGATGATATTTCAGACTGCTGTTGTAAAGCATCTTTAATCACAGGAACCATGTCGACTAGTTCACGATCAGTTGCACTCAATGTAAGTTTGGACATTGATTCACTTGCAGGATTTAAATTTTCTGTCAAGTGTTTTTTCATTGGCGTTGGCAACAGGGAGGCCGGACGGCGAGGGAGATGAAAGGGGACGGTTGAGAGAAGAAAAAATAACAACACAAAGGATGAAAATTCCTTGACAATTTAAACCAAACAAAAAAAACTGAAGTCATATATGAACTTATATATATATATATATATATATATATATATATAATAAAAATAACAACGACCTGAAGGTTATTCGAAATTTGAGCTGCATGAAAATGTTTCATATTTTGTGCAGAAGTTTTTGATAAAGTGAAAAACGCGGACAGAAGGAGGAAATACAACACCAAGTTAACAACTGGTTATCGATACAAAGAGAGCGAGGGAGGGAGGGAGAGAGAGAGACCTGTGTCTTGAATACAGCACACACACACACGCAGACACACAAAAGAAACCAAGACAACAGATAGATGAAAGCGCACAAGCACTGAGAGGCCGGTTTGTATTATCCTTAGGAATGTAGGAATGTGTGATTGACTTTAACTGTGTGATGCAGTGGACAACATGATGAACTAACAAAGGATATATAATGACGCATAAATATCCAAGTAACAATTTCTTTTATAGTGCCAGGTTACATAATGGTCAAGGTGAATTATAAGCACACTTTTTTTGTATCAGCAGTGAATTGACATCTCATAGTAAAGTAGGACAGCGGAAAGACAAACATCATCATCATCAATAAAAAACAACGACATACTCTACCTGTCTCTTTTTATTGTTACTTTGATTAGAGGTTCATGAGGCGGAAAAAAAGAAAGGTTAAACCATCATTAAATGATTACGACAGGCTCTTACTGTCTTCTACTTTCGGTGGCCATGTATGCCTCACACACAGAGATAAAGGAGGACAGAGCGAACTGCTGCTGTGCAGTGTACACACGTCCTTTTGGCCGATAGCTAGCCAGCCAGCCAGCGGGATATCACGTCTACTTAGCTAGAGAAGTAAGTGTAAGTTGGCGGCTTTATATATGCCGAATGAACCTTCTGTATATTCGTGGTGATTATTTTGTCAGCAATTGATCAACTCGTTGGAGTTGGCTGATGCAACTTCCCCACAAATAAGTGAAGTGGTCAAACACGCTCAACAACAACAACAACTTATCTCCCCTCTGTCTTTCAGCTAGGAGTGAGTCAATGTAGTCCAGTTCTGTAGCACCATCTTACACATTAGACACAGTAGCGAAGCGCATGCTAAACATTGGAAGATTACTGCTGCTCCTCCTCCTCTTCAAGGTGTTCGGATTTTGTCAGGGTCTTCATCTGTCTATGGCTTTCATCGTTGTTTATGGTCATAGAGTGAAGTGAAGATGACTCACTAGCCTGAAGAATAGTACTAAATGTAATAGGGGTGTAAGATGATGGAGGTGATGTGGATTCAGGTACCTGAAACAGAAAGAGGGTTAGTGTTGCGTGACCGCAGAGACCAGGGGCCAACTGCTTGAGGCCAGCCGGTCACACACGGCCTCCTTGTATGAACTGGTTTCTTCGTTTGGTTCTATATTAGTAAACTTACCGCCGGTTACGGACCACCGTAGGTCGGCGAAGTCGGGATGTACAATTTTTTGGGGTCGACCTTTTCTAACCACCTCTCTCCAGAGTGGAAAGACAGCATGTTACAACCTTATTCCCCAGCAGAACAACTTCGCGCACAGACCCCCTCAGAATAGTGTATAATAAAATCTTACACTATTCCGGTAACTGCTTTTCTTCTAATCGCTATCCTAATAGCCTTCCTGGTGTGGTAGAACCAGCAGGAACGTTGGTTCCAGCCAGTGTAAGCTTGTTGGTGGGTCATTTTGATGTGCAAAGCCAACCACCACGTCAAAGTAGCAGCTATCTCGGTCAGGCGTCTTCACCTAGAAGGACTATATCATCTACCTGTAGTCCTACGCCCGTGGTAGTAGTTAGACTCTCTCCAGAGGGGCTAACAGAACCTCACTTCACACTTGAAAAGCAAAGGTACAAAATGAAGTAACTTGCAGGCAATCTTTAACAACAGAAATAACTGACTAAAAGCACACTAACTTCTGCATACTCTCTTTGTTTATCCAGTTGTTTTCCTGAAGGGGGGCGGTTGGGGTGGGGGGAAGAAAATCCACCCAATGTCTGTGAAATTAATTAGTTAATTAATACAACATACATATACATATTTTCATTAACTAAAACTACCAAGATAACTTGGAAAACATCTGCCGTGTTCTGGCTGTTGGTTTGCTTGTTTTTTCTCCTTTCAATGGAATGAGTCATGCAAATGTATACCGGGATGATTCTGGTGTTGTTGATGATGATAATGATGGTTATGTCCGGTTTCTAGATCAAGTGAAGCGTCTAAGCCAGTATATGCCAATGCCTTTTAGACTAACCAAACACAACTCTCTCTGCCACACACACACACACACAAAATAGGCTAGTTAAGCAGTATACCAAAACACCTTTAGAGGCATCACATCAGTGGCTAGCGCGCTCCTACATCGAACCCCACTCTCTCGTCAACAAATCATCACAGTAGTAGTGAAGAATGCAGAGTCCTCTGAATACCTTCAGGAGCTACAATATACGAGTGTTTGGCATGCGATTCTCTCCTGCTGTAAAATGTAAGATGATGTTATCGGGCTGGACTGGACTTGACTACACTGACTCCTAGTTTAGAAATAGGGAGTGAAGTGGTAGAGCACGTTGACCGATTCTGTCTGTCTGTCTGTCTGTTTTCGACATAGAACTTTGCACAAATGTGCGGAAGTTCAAGTCGCCACATTCCGTGTAGCACGCGAAGCAAGAGAAGAAAGTACAAGAAAAGCATAATAGAAACAGTGAGCAGAGGTGTGAGACAAAGTTGACCGATTCACTTATTTGGGATCGCCGACGAAATCTCAGTACGGATACAGAGGGCTGGTTTCGCATATGTCAGTTTACGCCGTCTCTGGCGTACACATCTATGCAAAGTTCTATGTCGAAAACAGACGGACAGTAACGAATGAATCCGCTAGTATCGGTGGTGGTAAAACTATAGAATGCTCGCCACCGACGCACTCCTAACCCTCGCTGAGTTGATAGTAAGGCCAGTATAGAGGGAAAGGTCATGAGACCGACTGGCGACTACTTCACACGCGGTAAAAGTAAAAACCAACGCAACCGTAAAACTTCAGCCGCAATTAAAAAAAGCCATTGTGGCTCTCTATGTCTCAATTGGAACGCAAAGGAACAAGGAGGGGAAAGAAAATGAATCCACAACACTTAAATTTACAAACAACAGGAATTAAAATTAGAAAACAATAATGTACTGTTCCAGTTGGATATAATGCTATCAGTCAACAAGGAAATGCTTTTTAATTATATATATTATACAATATACTCACCACTTCTATACTGTTGAAGTTCTTCAATTGAAAAAGGTCCAAAAACGTCTACAGATTCATCAGATGCTGGAGTAAAAAACAAAAGAAAACAAATAAGTTATATAAACAACAACGTTAATCTGCTGCTAGATACTTCACAGTTGGACAGATCTCATGAACAACCAGTTTACTCCAATCTTGACAGCAACTGGCTCTACACCTTGAGCGTCCACCAGTCTTACGTTACTCACCTAATGCCAATTGATGCCCAGAGATTAGATTTCCATCAGACTGCTAACATTGTGGTGATTGACATTTCGTCAAATTTTGTCCGTATTATCATTATTATTATTGTTCCCTTGGGTTCCTAGTGGAATATATGGCTTCAACTCCACGTCTCCACTTGCCACTTCTGTCTTGCTTCTCCTGTACTTTCCACCTGTACCATCCATGTTAGTTAGTCCAAACTCCTTCAACTCCTCAACTCTTCACACGATCTCCTCCATGTCACCCACATTTGAACTGACCACCAACTCGCCTCTTCCCTTTCGCACTCCAGCAATGGCATGATGCGCCCGCGATGTCACCCAGCGGCCCAGTGGCCTCCTCAGCGAGTAGTGTCCAATCCACTCTTTTGTCCACTTTCTCCTGCATATTTGTTGGCTGGCGATTGATTGGTTCTTGTTTTGTTTGTTTCTTCCCATAGTTTCCCATACTTAGTGATTCTTTCCGGCCCGGCCCGGCCGTCTGATTGATCTTCAGTATAGATCCAGCGAAGACAGTTGTTGTTGCTGTTGACGAAGGTCTGCAACAGGCTGTTGGTGGAAATATTCTTTGTGACCCGCCCGCCAAGTTTCTGTCTGATCCGTATAGAAGAACTGACTGACTTGACGTTGTTTGTATTGAATTGAATCCGACGGAATTTTGTTGTTGATTCTGGCTGAGTGACGAAGATTGGTTTCCAGATTGGTTTCAGGTTGATGATGAATGTGTTTCTCGCCCACCACCCGATTCTCGCTCGATTTGACGTCCTCCTCCGTTCCGACTTCCTGTAGTTGAGACAATGCTCCCTTGATAATGAAGTGAATGAAGTAGCCTCTTTAAATACCTCTCATTGTGATGGTGATTGGCGCTGAATGTTGCTATTGTTGTCGTTGTTGGTTGGTTGGTTATTTTGATAACCTCCGTCTTGTCTATGTTCACCTGGAGTCCTGTCTTCGCCGGCTGCTTCTTCGGCTAGTTTGTCGGTTTTCGCATGTAAGTGTGACTTCAAACATAAATCATCCACTCGCGAAATCCACGTCTTCTAGGTTCTTCACGTCGGTCGATCCAGGATATCCCTGTCTTCTCACTCCCCACACACTGTCTGACGCATAATCCAGTCAGTCCACTATAATTAGGAATATCATTCATTGGTGATAATAAGCGCCCTTGTCTGACACCTGTTTTATCTCTAAACGCCTCGCTGAGTTTTCCGTTGTGGATCACTTGACATGTGCCGTTGTTGTCGTACAGCTGTTGAATAAGTTTGATGAATATTTGGGGTACGCCGTAGTACTCGAGTAGTGTCCAAATTTTGTCCGTATAAGCAATACTAATGACAATATACTACAATAATCTTGGATATGAAGACTGTTTTAGCCAACAACATACACACTTACACACAACGACACTCACAGACATCATCCTGGACAAGTTACCCAAGACGCCGTTCCCAAGAGGGTGTAAAGCCTGTTTCCCGAACAAAGACACCTGTAGCATGTGCTTCATTACCACAAGTTGACACTGAACTTTCCTGTTTCGAACAACAAGATGTTCTCAAGCATATCACAGGCTGCACATGAAACTTCACTACCTGAGCTACCTTCAGTTGAGTCATCACACGCCCCAAAAATCCTTCGATGTTGGAACGTGACATAAAAACCAACTACGACGGCGTCCACCTCCCGACAAAAAGACAACAGCAACATACGAAGAATGCCACGGATGCCTCAGACTCTCCAGTAAACAACAGGCTACTCACTCTCACTTAATTGACATCGGTCAGTCAGGTGCAGAACAAAAAAGAGGGTTTGTAGTTCCAGGTTGACCACAAAAGTAATACGTCCCTTTTAAAGGGGGAAGTGTGATTCGTAGACAGATAAACAATGGATTGTAATTTGACGTTGACCAAGGTTAGTCTGGAAATAAACCATAGAGGATTATACACATCCTTTTATGGTTATCTCTCACATCTACGGCATTGGACCCCAACCAGGAAGTCTAAATCCTGTTACGTTGCCTTAAACTAACTGTTGTAGATTTTATTGACCGATGAAGCCATGTTTTGCTTTGGCTACCGCTGGCTAGTTCTTTTCCAGCCTGATCCTATGTCAGCTAACTAACATTTCCCATTGTCGAGGAACCCATGGCTGTAGACAATTGGTGATATGGCTCAAACGCATCGTTCTCAATAAAGGCTGGTGCAGTGCATCCACTTCTTGTGACTTATAATTTCCAATGAAACTATATTGTTCTTCTTTATTACTATTCCTTTGTCTCATGTCCCTGTTTACCGTCTCTATTTTGCGTTTCTTTTTTATTTTGTTCTCTTTCTTTATGTGCTACACGGAGGGAGTGTGGCGACTTGAACTGCTGCACATCGGTGTAAATGTCTATGGTTAAAACAGACAGACACTTCGCCTGTTGCGATTCTGGCTGGTTTCGATATCTTCATCCACACCACCTGTAGCTGTGAAACGACGATGACAAGAAAAAGTGCAAAGAGGCGAGTTCTTTTTTATATTTCTTTCGTTGATGGTGACTGGTGCTTGTTGTTTTCGTTAGTTAGGTATCTCTACATCATCACCTCTATCTTCTCTATGTTCATTAGAAGTCCTGTCTTCGCTGCCTGCCTTCTCTGCCACCATACCGCTTTTCACCAGAGTATATCTTCGAGTTTGTACGACACTAGATATAAATCATCTGCGGAGTCCAAACTTTCTATAGAATCTTCTTGTTCCCTCGCGCTCCTCAGAGTCTACCGCATGATCCAGTTCAAACATAATCACGATTATCATTGATGATAGTAGGGAGTCTGTCGTGTGCCCCTTGTTCTTATTTCGAAGCCTTCATTGAGCTTTCCTGTTGTGAATCACTTGATAAATGGTCAATTCATTCAATACCGCTATTAAGTTACCAAATACTGATATATTGTAAAAAAAAAAGATATAATCAAGTATTGGCATGTAGGGATTTGGTTGGTTGGTTACAGGATTTCATCATGAGTTGACATTGGTTAGAAAGCCATTGGAAAACCAGTCAGGGAGTACTGGACAGCCAGCTGTTTCGTCCTAGTTCGGGACTCTTCAACAGTACGCACCCACCTGGATTCGAACCCAGTACCTTCTGGTTACAAGGCGAGCTCGTAGACCATTCATCAGCCACTGGAACCCCACTCGATGGCCAGCCCATGAATTCTAACTTCTGCCAATTCACGACATAGCGCTACCGCTAGCCAATGTCTTCGGGGAATATTTGTCCTCACACCCGACGTGCTGCACCCTACTGGTCACGACTTCCCCCACTGAAACCTCAGGTAACTACCTATCTGAATAGGGCAAGTCGCTAGTGAGCATCTCTTTGATGTTCAAGTATTGGTTTGTAGGGATTTGGTTGATTGGTTACAGGATTTCATCATGAGTTCACATTGGTTAGAGAACCACTAGAAAACACACACATTGCGCCTAACACAAGAAATGAAATATACTCATAAGGCAAGAGTAAAACATGAGTACTGTGACAGAGTATAATCCCATAGGATTACGAGCGATAAACTGTGCGCGAAACGTCATCCAGCATATAATGCATATTGCATCACTTTCTGCTACGACAAATAAAACCAACTGAAGTGGAATGATCCTAGACTAACATCATCACTTAGAGAATCACTGTAAATCAGGCGGTACTGAACATCTGTTTCGTCCCAGTGTGGGACTCTTCATAAAGAATAGGCAACCATGGACACACCACCACCATGGATCGAACCCAAGACTTTCAGATCACGAGAATAGGCTCGTTGACCATTTTCAGTGATAGGGACGGAACCCAATAAATGCTCCGTGATTAAAAGCTTCACAATTAAACTAATCTGTAGACAGTGTCGAATAATATTATTTAAACAATAAGCAAGTCAAAAAAAATAAGATTATTATAGATAATGCGACAGACAACGGGCAATGAGGAAACAGGCATAAAATGGACTCACATAAAAAACTTGGAGGATCTGGACTTCTCCGATGATATATGTCTGATTTCCCACAAAGCAAAGCAACAAGTTGGCAGAAGAAGCATCAAAGATATTTAAAACTTCAGGTGAACATAGAGAAAACAGATGTGGTGATGAAGATTCCTAGCCAACAGCAACAACAGACAACAATCAGCCAGCATAAATGGGAGGAACTTGAAAGAAACAACCTCCTTTACCTACATACCTACTTAACTGGGAAGCATCGTTTCAACTACAGGTGGACGGAACTGACGAGGATATCAAAGCAAGAATCGGGAAATCAAGACAAGCTTTTATTTCTCTCAAGTCTGTGTGGAGGTCAACAGCACTCAACATCAGAAATAAGATCCGGATTTTCAACTCCAATGTGAAGTCAGTCAGTGCTACTATACGGATCAGAGACTTGAACTGCGCGTCATAAAGAGCATCTCCAACAAACTACAGACTTTCATCAACAGCTAGCTGTCTTCGCTCAATACCACTCAAGATCAGATGGCCGGCCAGAAAAGATCAGCAACAGGGATCTCTGGGAGCGAACCAATCAGGAACCGATTGTGAAACAAATAGGCAGGAAGAAGTGGAGATGGATTGGCTGGCCATACTCTGAGGAAACCATCAAGTAAGTGACATCACTAGACAGGCCATCGCTTGAGTGGATTCCGAAATGGAAGCGGCGAGTTGGTCGTCAGAATGACGGTAACATAAAGGAGGAGGTCATGTGAATAGGAGATGAAAGCGTGTGAGCAGACTTGGAGCGGGGTGAAAAAGTTGGGAGAGAACCGAACGCAATGGAGACGTGTGGGGCTGAAGCCGCCCAATGTTCCTCTAGGAATTAAAGGATAAAATAATTATTATTATTGTTATTACTATACTAACCATTAGGTGAGATTCCATTTGAACCAGCAGGAATTGTTGGAGGAATAATAGTATATCCAGCTTGAGCCAAAGCCTTCAACACAACAACTAGAGCTACAGAACTAGCTCTAAATCGTATATGCTGTGGACGTACACATAGTTCATGATCACATGTATGCATCATTATATTTGTATCGGTACTTGACATTGGTAAACCATGATAGAGCATACCAACGATTGTATCCAACCTCCAAACCTAACCAACAAGTTAAAAGAAAAGAAGAATTAAAGAGAGAGAGAGAAGCAAAACATCAACACAACGAAAGTATCTTATTGCAGTGGATATAAACTCCCTCTCTCTCTCTATCTCTCTCTCTACCTGTTTTCAACATAGAACTTTGCACAGATGCGCAGCAGTTCAAGTCGCCACACCCACCACCCACCCCCATGTAGCACACAAAGCAAAAGAAGAATGTAGAAGAAATACGAAAATAGAGACAGGAGACAGGGATATGAGACAAAAGAAATAGTAATAACGAAGAGCAGTAACAGCGGTGTTTATTTTTACGAGATGGGGTCGCTGCTAGCCTCATGCCCAAGCTCCCTCTTCATCAGTCTTATACACTGGCTTAGAGAGGTTTGGAAGTGCATCTACCAAGAGTCGAATCCGAAACCACATGAGGCGTGTAGGTGGCGAGCATTCTACCGCTGTGCCACCGACGCAATTTGTCCTCTTGTTTCCTATCAATTATTCCCTAACTGACAATAACCTCTAACTTTTGTTGTCAGTTAAAGGTTTGAATGGACACCAGGGTAACTGATGTCCTTTGATTGGCGCAAAATGAATTCTATTAGTCAGTTTTGCAATGAGACCACCATGCTAGGTGACTACTGGCTATCAGGGAACATTGTGAATTATTGTTATTAGATGGTTGGAGGTAATTGGCGACACACCAACAACAGCGACACTAACGCCTTTCATTGGTTACCATCACTACCAACATCAATATCGTCATCATCAATAACAACACAACTCCACTTACAACAACAAGTCGAAACCCATGAACAACACTTCCATCAACCGTTTTTCCGAAGAAAAAAACACAAGTCCCACAGATAACCAAGTCTGAAAAACTAACTAACTCATCTACATTCTCCTACCTCATAAAATACTCAGTCACCTCAACATCACCAAAACGCGACCACGCATATATCACAAAATTCAATTATAGGTTGCATATGAAACAGACTATGATGAACACAAACCTAGGATTAGCTAAACAACCCAACAAACTTCCGTTTCTTTGGTCCACTTCGGTCCAATCAATCGACGGGAGCATCTCAAATTGAATTAAATTAATGACCCGTTGCACAAGAGGTGGCACTCGTGGCCCAAGTGGTTTAGTGGATAACACTTTGGCGTTTGAAACTATGGGCACTGGGTTCGAGCCTCGGTGGGAGCATCATCACTCACTGAGAAATGCATGTACATCCAGCTGACGAGTCCCAAATAGGACGAAATGCGCATTATCCTGGATTCCACTGCTAGTCACCATCCACCAATTAAATAACATTACCAGTTAGATACACGTGAGCCAATTAGGCATTTTACGAAACAAACTTAACACCCCATGAAATTCAATATTCCCTGGACAGTGGTGATGCACTGAAAGTGAGTGTGTCGGTGGTTCAGAGGTAGAACGCTTGGCAACCACGTAGGTGGTTAGGAGTTCCATCCCCAGCCCGAGCACTTCTAAACCTCATAAAGCCGGTAGTTAAAGTCAGTAAGTAAGGAAGGTTGGGAGAGCAACCTCCCCTCGTAAAAAATAAATAAAACCACTACTACGGAAACTTTAAAGCTCTGGTTTGAAGCCTTATGTCGCACCCAGAGCATAAAGGAATAAAATAATAATGTAATATATATATTCAAGTATTGGATTTGTAGGAATTTGGTTTGATTGGATGGAGGATTTCACCATCGGTAAGAGAACCATTGGTAAACCAGTCAGGGAGTACTGGACAGCCAACTGTTTTGTCAGCCTAGTTTGGGACTCCGCTTCATCAGTACGCACCCACCCCACTGGCGGGGTTCGAACCTAGGACCTTCTGGTCGCAAGGCTAGCGAGCTAGCTCGTAGACCATTGAACATCTGGAACCCGATCCAATGGCCAATGTATGAATCTTAACTTCTGTCAATTCATATATATATATATATATATATATATATATATATATATATATACCATGAATCCACTGATTTCATCCGATTACTAGTACTATTAGTAGTGATATCATCATTTTTGAAGTACTAAAAACACCTTTAAACCTAGAAAACTGGGTGGTAACACAGTAAAAAGAAGAAGAAAAGAGTGAATGACTTTTGAAGCAAGTGATTTCTTATAATTATTACCACCATCATCATTACCACAATCTAACTACCTTTTCTTTGAACACACAGAGAGAGAGACAGATACGGAGACGGAGAAGAATTCCAGTTATAACATGAAAAATTATTCATTGAAAAAATTTGTGTAGTAGTAATAGTAATAAAACCAATCACAGAAAACAGAATATGAGTCAACTATCTCACAACAACGAAAACAATCAAAATTTAATTGAAATCACTTCAATAACAACTAAAAGTAAGTAAATGTAAGTGTCATCCGTTTGTACGTCGATAGTTCAGCGGCAAAATGCTCTCGACGTTCGCCTCCCGACCAGAGCAATCCTCTTATACCCCCTCCCCCTCAGCCAAACAAAGAAGGAAGATAGGGATAGTGTTAGGACATGAACAGATTAGCTATCTATGATCATAGGTACCTGAGTTCTATCTCCCGTGTGAAGTGGTATAATAAGGTGAGCAATATTGAGGTTAGGCATCGGTTGAGTGCTAGGCAGGTGAGAGGGGAAATCAATCGACGAGGCTGTGAAGTTACATACACTGAGATAGTTAGGACATGTGTTACGCATGACTGCCTAGTCACCGCCTTCCTAGACGAGCAATGTTAACTGATATAGGGTCAGGCTGGAAAAGAGCTAGCCAGTGGCGGTGAAACCAAAACATGGCTTCACCAGTCAATGAAATCCACAACAGTTAGTTTAAGCTAGCCACGTAGGAAGGTGTAAACTTCCTGGTTGAGGTCCTCGGGATGGTGAAAACCAGTGAACGTTGGGGACAATTGGTGATATGGCTGAAAATCGTAGTTCTCAATGGCTAGCGTAAATGCATCCACTCCTTGTGATTTATGATTTCCAATGAAACTATATTGTTCTTCATTACTACTATTCCTTTGTCTCACACCTCTGTTTACTGTCTCTATTATGCATTTCTTATACTTTCTTCTCTTGCTTCGTGTGCTACATGGGGCGAGTGTGGCGACTTGAACTGCTGCAGATGGGTGCAAAGTTCTATGTCGAAAACAGACAGACAGACAGATAGTGTTAAGCCAGAAACCTCACCACGTGGGAAAAGGACACCACTACTACTACTAATACCACTGAAACTTTACAGCTCAAACTTAAAGCCGTATGTTCCACTCCTAGAAGGCAAGAGAATGAAAGAAAAAAAAAAGGAAAAAACATTAGAACCTACCTTATCTGAACCTTTTCCACCGTCTATACGCCGCATACGACCTTTAGCATCACCACGACTTATAACACACGAGTCAGGATCTTTCAGTGTATCTTCACTGCCTAGCCAACATTTGAGAAACCAAAATACTGAATCACTCGGTAATTCTTTATACAATTTTTTCAGTAAATTGGAAACAGCATCCGTTTCTGTGTTAGCATTCATTTCCTTAAAAAAAAATGCATATATATATATATATATATATATATATATAAAATTGATAAGATAAGGGATATCAATATAAAAAAGAAATAATAAGAATAGTAAACAAACGCAGTAAAGTTGTTATTATAGGTTTTAGGCATATACATAATAACTTCAGCTATCGCACAACGGTAGAATGCTTGCTAACCACGCTTCATGTAGTTCGAGGTTCGATCCCAGGACATTGACTCACCCCTTTGCCTTGCTAAGCCAGTCATAAGACTGCTAAAGAAGGAAGGTTGGGCATGAGGCTGGCAGCAACCACATCCCATAAAAAAACAAAAATAAACACTGTTGTTACTGAAACTTCAAGCGTGAAGCTTGAAGCTCCATGTTTCATCACTGGGAACATAAAGGAATAGAATCAAGATTAAAATTGCACAAAGATTACCTGTTAAACACATGACACACCTTTCACAGTAATTGGGACGTTTTTTCTAGACATACCTCTATATCTTGATAAGACTCAAGATCGACAACAAAGCCCATATTCCAATAGAGATGCAAATATTTTTACATTCAAGTTAGGAAACAAATGGTCTGATTGAAATCAATGAGTACTGGACATAAATAAGAAAGAATATGTCATCTACTGTTATACCATATAATGAGGGAACATCTGAGACACTCCCTGCGTAGGATTATCAATAAAGCATGAATTAGAGTGGTAGCTGTCAAACCTACAAACTCACTCCAGTTAGGACAAAGTCTGTAGGCTAAAAGACACAATGAGTTGACCTAATTAAACAAAATAATATAATTTACAAAATACCTTGCAATGACTGTGAGTTAAGTCAACTATATAGGTCAAACTAGTCAGTAGGTCAGGAGTAGTCAGATTATCAGAACATACGAATTTAGCTAAGGCAAGAATGGTTGACCCCGAGAAGATAAGTAGTAGTTTCGAAAAGAGCTCAGCAATTGCACTGCATGCATTAACACACAACCACACAATAGGGTGGGAGAGGGTTAAAATTCTAAGAAGCAATCTATGTAGGTGGAGTGGGAGAGAGATTGATTACTGAATCCTGCCTGGTTCATCGAGTCTACACACAACACAACACATGCGACAGAAATGACTCAATGCAAATACCCGAGATATCTATGGAGGATATTATAACCACCAGTCAGTCAAATCAGAGGAGGATAGTAAGTAATCTCAAAATTCTATTTCAATTCAAACACATCACAACATTCTAACAAGTTACTTATTATGACTATAAAAACACTCGTCTTATTTCCCATCTGATTGTAATTGATCAATAACACTCATATTATTATTTCTGAATGTACATTATCCTGTACACTGATTTTTATTCAAATATCTAATCGATCCCACCCATGCATATAAATGAAGGAAAAAGTTATGTGAATAGCTTGATATAATTATGAACAGGAATAGTTTGTCCTTGAAACGTGGTCATCAGTTAATATTACTGTATACCATTGTGAGACTTTATCAAAACAAAATTTTACCCATGATGGAATTACGCTCTACAACAGTGACCAAGTTTTATAGTTTGAAACTCCTCAGTGGTACACATCCATTGGATCTAATCCCCAGTAACTGAACAGTCGAGAAACTCGCCAGGTAACCCGAAAGACCTGGTTCCCACTCCCAGTGAGTCATACATGCATGCGCGTACTGATGAAGAGTACCAGGCTAGGACGAAGTAGATGTCTAATAATCCCTTTCATTTTTTATTTTTTTTTTCTATAAACGACATCAATTCGTGATTGTGACTTGAAATTAATCAAATCCCTACAAACCAACGCTTAAAAATTTGGTTATACTTTTCCGTATGGAGCAGTAGAGTGGTGTCTGTAACAACCCTTAAGTTCCTATGTCCTCCAGTGAGAGAAAAATACTTTGATAATACTACTTGAGATGAAGAAGGGTAGAGATTTAGCATAAAACACACAGGAGCACAATTTTCTAGGAGGTTGAATAACCATGAGCTGTTGATCCAACTTATTTTGAGGAGAGATTGTCTACCTTGACTAGACCGACCTGTACACGTGTTTTTCGACAGATTAACATTTCAAAGGATTGGATTGTAATTTAACAGTGATAACCGCCACTATTTAGTTGATTATAATAAGGTGAGCAATATTGAGGTTAGGCATCGAGTTTGTGAAATTACATCGACTGAGATGGTTAGGACATGTGTTACGCATGACTGCCTAGTCACCGCCTTCCTAGACGAGCAATGTTAACTGATATAAGGTCAGGCTGGAAAAGAGCTAGCCAGCGGCGGTCAAACCAAAACATGGCTTCACCAGTCAATGAAATCTATAACAGGTAGTCTAAGCCAGTCTAAGGAAGGTGTAAACTTCCTGGTTGAGGTCCTCGGGATGATGAAAACCAGTGAACGTTGGGGACAATTGGTGATATGGCTGAAAATCGTAGTTCTCAATGGCTAGCGTAAATGCATCCACTCCTTGTGATTTATGATTTCCAATGAAACTATATTGTTTTTCATTATTACTATTCCTTTGTCTCACACCTGTTTACTGTCTCTATTATGCATTTCTTATACTTTCTTCTGTTGCTTTGTATGCCACATTGAGTGTGGCGACTTGAAGTTCCGCACATATGTGCAAAGTTCTATGTCGCAAACAGACAGACAGACTTAGTTGATTAGTCGACTGACCACTTATACCCTAAGTAGTTGACATACTATATAATCGTAAGATAACAGTCGCGAAGCTTAGAGCTGAAAACATTGTCCTCGGATAAAACACTTACATTGACACTCTTCAAAGGTAATTAACATTGTCACAGTCACAGACAAGATAGAGTTTGCTTAATGGTATTGAATATCAACATGGGAAGAAAACTAGCCGAAAAACAAACTAAAAGATAACTGATAGGTAAAGATACACTTAAATCGTTTTTAGCTCTTAGATAGGAAAAGTATAGCGCTGTCTAATGCTCAGATTAACTGTTGAGAGATTATTAACTCACAGCATGTTGTATTGCGTAGACACAAGTGATCAACTACTTATAATCAGGTTGAACATGATACATGAATGTTTCAATCTCAGAGACTCCCATACGGCTTACTGTTTTGCTAGCCTTAGGAGTAGTTGGAAAAATTGGAGAAGCGATCAGCCTGTGCTATGGCACCATGGAATGAAGGATATTCATATTAGTTATTAGATGGTTGGAGGCAATCAGCCACAGGAAGCGTTGCCTGACTTAGGTTTCATGCTAATTGGCACTCACCAGTCGACAAGGCGTATCTGCAACCTTCAAGGAACTCATGTCTCTTCTGAGATTCGAACCCGCGTCAACTAGTCTACTGCAGTCAGAGACGTTACCATCACTGAGCTATTCAGACTCACGATTGACCTCCTGTAGGACTGTAGTGAGTATTTTCACTGGACACTAGTAAGTAGTGTGACGTGTCTTGTCCCCCCTTTGGTGCAGACTGAATTCTATCAAACAGAAGGGACACGAGTTCCTTCAAGGTTGCAGATAAGCCTTGCTGACTAGTGACAACTAGCACGAGACCTAAGCTGGGCGATGCTTCCTGATGGTCCCCTCCAACCATTTAATATCAACAATATCAAGTGCATTGTGATGCTGCCCCACTTAGAATGGTGGCCACATTGCAAACCTGACTGATAGAATTCAGTCTGCACCAAAGAAAGGACTATACACATCACACTAGTTACTAGTATCTAATCAAAGTATCGTATTAGTTAGGTTAGCTTCCATTAGTACATGTTAACTCCCTGGGTGGGATCTAAGCGACAATTTGAATCGATGGCCCAAGAGGTTATCACATGAGGCGAAAAATCTCAATCAATGGCGAACATCTATTGCAATCTCGCGGTTTCTGAAAGTAAGATGAAATGTTGAATAATGAATGCTCATGACGAGTACACCTAATTTCCTGGATAACCTCTCTCGCTTATTCTACTGTCTGTCTGTCTGGATTCAATATAGAACTTGCCACCGAAGTGTAGCAGTTCTAGTTGCCACGTTCCAAATAGCACACAAAAGTAAACAAGAAGATGAGTGAAGAGAATCAATAGAGTTTGACAAGTATACGAGTGAAACAGAATGGGTAATGGTAGAAAGGAATATGAAAGATTACAGAGACTGAATACTATATCTGCGCTGGCCATTGACAACGATTTTGAGCCATGTCACCCATTGTCTCCAGCCATTGATTTTTAGAATCCCAAGGGTCCCAACCCAGAAGTCTGCATTTCCCTACTTGACTCAGTTTAACTGTCAAGGATTTCATGGATTGATGCCATGTTTTTGTTTGGCCACCACTTACCCTTTTCCAACCTGCACCCATATCAGCTAGTAATGCCCGTCGGGGGAGGCGACGGTTAGGCATGCGCAGCACGTGACCTAGCCATCTCAATCTATGTAAATTTATAGCCTCGTCAACTACTGTAGGCAATAACCAGAAACAATCTTTGTTTTATGTAGAAATATTATGTTACTAATCCAGAAGTGTACAAAACATTTAACAGCATGGGAGATGGCAAAATTTAACACAAATAGTTCTGTCTGTCTGTCTGTCTGTTTGCGACATAGAACTTTGCACATATGTGCAGCACTTCAAGTCGCCACACTCAATGTGGCATACAAAGCAACAGAAGAAAGTATAAGAAATGCATAATAAAGACAGTAAACAGAAGTGTGAGACAAAAAGAATAGTAATAACGAAGAACGATATAGTTTCATTGGAAATCATAAGTCACAAGGAGTGGATGTATCTGCACCAGCCATTGAGAACGATGAGTTTGAGCCCTATCACCAATTGTTTCGAACCACTGGTGCTTACCGTCCCGAGGACCCTAACCAGGAAGCCAGTATACACCTTCCTACGTGGCTAGCTTAAACTAACTGTTGTGTATTTCATTGGCTGGTGCCATGTTTTGGTTTGACCGCCGCTGGCTAGCTCTTTTCCAGCCTGACCCTATGTCAGCTAACAGTGCCCATCGTCGAGGAAGGCGATGACTAGACAGGTACAATCGTAACACATGTCCTAGCCATCTCAGTTGATGTAGCTCCATAGCCTCGTCGATTGATTTCCCCTCCCACCTGCCTAGCACTCAACGGATGACTAACGTCAATATTGCTCATCCTATTACACCACTTCACACGGGAGATAGAACACAGACACCTATGATCAAAGACAGCTAGCCAATTATTTCATGTCTTCCACTCTTACTGGCTAGGTCTCACAGCCATAGAGGAGGACGGAGCGGACTGCTGAGCAGTACACCCGTCCTTTGGTCAAGAGCCAGTCGGATATCACGTCTACGCCAGAGACGGCGTAACCTGGCATATGTGAAACCAGCCCTCTGTATGCGTGCTGAGATTTCGTCAGAGATCAACCCGTTGAGGCTGATGGCACAAACGGTCAAACAAAGCTTAGAAAAATAGACATCACAACAGCTATATCCTTGATTAAATAATAATTTTACTTGAAAAGTTTGAGATGCTGAGTGTGATGTACGAAGTTAACATGTGTATGAAATAAATAATTGTGAAACATGTTTAAGTTCTGCCTATGATAAAACTGACTGACTGGCGCATCAACGTAGAACTTTCGACGAAAGTGCAGTGAATTAAGTTGGCACACTCATAAAACGCACGGAGACACCAGTTATCGTATGACAGACAAACGGATACAACAGGGAGAATAGTAAACCGCAGATTAGTGAATCTATCCAGGATCTAAGAGACAAGGAGAAGTGAAAATATCTGAGTCACTGCGGACAATGGCTATGACTACATGACTAGGTAGGTCTCTGGCTACTTGTTGTTACCGTCCCTATGACCTAAAATGTTAATTTACACCTTCCAAGGTGGCTTGCATAGACAGCCAGTGACTTCACGAAGTTTTGGTCATTTCTAACTCTACTAACGTGTCCATCACTAGTGACTACCATTTAGTATTCTTTTCATTTTTTCCCATGTATACTTATCAAAGTATGCCTCGAAAAATTTCTTAGACGATGTAAATAAAAATATACCGAAGAATATTTACCCACTCCATATACTTTAACTTATGTTTTCTAAAGTATCTCAGCAACTAATCCTTTAGAGAGTATTCTAGAGGAAATTTACAAAATTCAAAGCAAGTCATTTTGTAATCTCAAGTTATATCCATTAGCGCAAGAAGAGAGGCTGGAGACAGTTGGTGATATGCCTCAAAATCGTTCTCAGTCGCTGGCGCAGGTGCAATCACTACTCTTTGTGATTTACAATATCCAGTAACATTCTATTGTTCTTCCAATACAATGTTACTGCACATCAGTCCGCTCCATACTCCTTTATGGATGCGAGACCTGGCCATTTAGAGTGGAAGACATAAAAAGGTCAGCTAACTGTCTTTGATCATAAGTGCCTGAGTTCTATTTCCCGTGTGAAGTGGTATAATAAGGTGAGCAATATTGAGGTTAGGCATCGGTTGAGTGCTAGGCAGGTGAGAGGGGAAATCAATCGACGAGGCTGTGAAGTTACATAGACTGAGATGTTTAGGACATGTTACGCATGTCTCGCCTAGTCATCACCTTCCTCGACAATGGGCAATGTTAGCTGATATAAGGTCAGGCTGGAAAAGAGCTAGCCAGTGGCGGTGAAACCAAAACATGGCTTCAGTCAATGAAATCTACAACACCTAGTCTAAGCCACGTAGGAAGGTGTAGACTTCCTGACTGGCTGATTGGGGTCCTCAGGACTGTAAAAACCAATGGTTCGAAACAATTGATGGTGATATGGCTAAAAATCATCGTTCTCAATGACTGGTGCAGATGCATACACTCCTTGTGACTTATGATTTCCAATGAAACTATATCGTTCTTCGTTATTACTATTCATTTGTCTCACACATCTGTTTACTATCTCTATTATGCATTTCTTCTACTTTTTTCTCTTGCTTCGTGTGGCGACTTGAACTGCTGCACATGGGTGCAAAGTTCTATGTCGAAAACAGACAGACAGACAGACTATTGTTCTTCCACATAACTTTTCTTTTTCCCCCATATTTTTGCTTATCATCTCTCTTTACTCTCTTCTTTCGCTTTGTGTGCTACATAGAGGGAGAATGAGAACTCGAACTGCTGCACATCTGTGCAAAGTTTTAAGTTGTAACCAGTCATTGAGTTAGTCGGTGCCTTTTTTTGCCTTTCCACCAGGTAGTCGGAATACCTTAGAGGACATAGCAGGAGAGTTCAAAAGCCAAGAAGAAACCATATATTGTTATGGAGCACGGATTCTCATACCGAGTTACAAACTCCTGGAACCGACTCCCAGAAGAAGTGGTGTCTGCAACCCCCAAAGGATTCATTCAAGAAAGGTTTGGACAAGCACAGAAATTTACTAGAAAAGGATTAGCATAAGCTCCAAGGCTAATAACCTCAAACAATAAATCTGAATCTGAAATCTGAATCACAGCAACCCAATGTATAAAAAATTGGCATTTAGTGCTGGAAGCATACTGGCCTTTACTTAGATCTAACTGACATGGGAAGGGAAAAATCAATGTGCACAATAAGCATACACGACTGAAGACATTATTTTAGAGAAAACCACATGGATTACTCAATACAATAAAACCACTACCTACTATCACACACAGCCTTATGAGCATGATATAGAAACCATGCCAAGTGGAAGTCACTCGAGAATATGTTGGTCTCTGAAACCTGAGCAATATGAGTAGTAGATTGCTGAAGGGTGTAAAAATGCTGTGTTCACTTCTTTTCTCTTAAGATGAATAATAGATTATCACTATCTCAAAACCCCACTCGTTTTATACCTCAAGTTTCGCTTGCAAATATTTTAATCTATTTAACCTTACTGAATCTTTTAAGGTTGTTGAGAAACCAAAAATAATGAAAAATATTTTACCGTATGTTTGCTTTTAAGGAGCAGTAACATGCAATGTTTGTATTACATACTGTCTACAGTGTGACATAACTGCAGCAATTTTTCTACCTAATTTAATGTCAACAAAAATACAAAGTTCTCATAGAACTAGGTGTAAAACAGAGTACTAAAATGAGTACCGGAGTACAAGCTTATCCAATTTTTCAGGCACGTTTGATAAAACAAGTGAAATTTGGAAAAGACATTCAGATAAATAATGCGTAAACAACCTACTAACTGAGTGCGATTTTGGTTTCCCGCTTGGTGGAATTGCATAAAAAATCATTCAGTCCATTACATAATATTACTAGAAATCTTATTTTCCCTAAATAAGCTTCGAACGCTACCTTGGTGGTGTGAGACAGATGGCAGGATAAAATGAATTCCACTGGGGATAAGATTAAAAGAAAGACAGTGACAATAATAAAGGCACGGTTAAGAAAGCTATAAGGTTCTATAATTCAGAGGGACTGGGAATAATCGAACTTTAAAACACGCGATAATTTGAAAATAATGACTAAATACACGAGCATCTAGGGGAAAAATATAACATATAACATAAAAGTGGAGAAAAAAACATACTGCAATCTTTAGCGATATAAGACTCCAATCACTTTGGCTTTGTCCACTGTTACACGCCATACGACGGTTTTCCTCTCTATTTCTTTCACGCATTGATGAAACACCCCGAAACCATAATGGAGCAATACGTTTACACCTTCCAATAAGAGCTCGAACAAATAATGCCTCACTAGGCTTAGCTGTTGTATGTGCAGGATGTTTATGAACACATTCGCTAGGTAAATTCGGCACTTGAAATTCGGAACTGAGAGAATGAACAGAAAGTACGTTGGAATTATCCTCAAGACACTGAATAGAAAGAGGTTTAGTTATTGATTCCGACGCGCTGGGAACTACATTGTGACTGCTATCAGATTCGGATTCAAAATATTCCACTTTCGTTTGAGATGACAATACTAAATTATCATTTATTGGAAATCCCATTTGAGGCATACAAACTGACAAGGTATTTGAGTAAGAATCCTTTTGAAGAACAGTACATAGTGAACTTGGGTGGTTTTTACCGGGATTATGGTTAACAGATAATGGATAAATTACTCCAGAAGACAAACTAGTGAACGGTGGCTCAGGTTTTACATTTATGTTATTAGGCTCCATGCAGTTTATACGAACAAAGACCCATCCATACCAGCAACACAGTCCTAAGAACAGAAAAACGTGACCTTCAAATCCGACCAGCGCGTTTGAATTAAGCACTTAGCCTAAGCACGCGCTTACCAGTACTATTGTTCATTTGTTTGAAAAAATAGTTCACTCTTTAATTTTATATCAATTTTCTGACAGTTTATAATAAAGAATTCGAGTGATAAATTTCTTACACTCTTCTTGATCCACAAATTCTATCCGCGCCAAATATAAAATGTCTCTCCCCATTCCTGAGTGTATGGATCTAATGAACCCAACTGGTTTATCTAGTCGTACAGACGTACGTGATGATTTTAAGAAGCATACAATGCAACCAACATGCACAGGGACGTCTGTTATTGGAATCAGGTTTCGAGATGGAGTCGTTTTAGCTGCTGACATGCTGGTTTCTTATGGGTCTCTTGCCCGTTATATGGATTTTGAACGCATGTTTAAGGTAAATGAATTCTCATATTCCCAAGCTGCTCTTCTAACAGGTTAACAAAAATACTGTGATGTGTTGCAGTGGGGATGTAGCAGATTTCCAATTTCTCAAACATTATGTTGAAGAACAAACCCATCTCGAAAGTCTGATAGCTGATGGTTTTCAAATGAGGTATCTCACCCTTTTCTCTTAACATTTCTTCTCCTAGTCCGCATGCACTTCATAGCCTTATTACGCGCATACTTTACAACCGTCGTAGTCGTTTGGATCCATTGTGGAATACGTATATTGTCGGCGGTTTGGAGTCAGATGGAAAACCGTTCTTAGGGTACTGTAATATGCTCGGAGTTTGTAAGTCACTTTCTAGATCTAAACCTAGTATGCCTTTTGCTAGTCTTATAATATCGCGACGCATTTTTAAATCTTTCATGACCATGTTTTACATTGGCAACAGACCATCTCATTCTCTATTAAGTGTCCCATCGTGTGATAATATATCATTGCCAAGTTTTTCCAACCGAAATAAATAGTCTTTTAAAGAGACTGCTCTTCTGATCTTTGGTTTGAAGTTTCACTCTCAAGAGAGTAGACTAGCAGTACGAGTTGTCTTTATACTCCTCTGGGTAAACCCTCCATCTGCTGTTAAGGGTAGGACATTTCTGCTTCCATTTTTATGATAACGCCCTTCACTGAATAGTCATCTGCTTGGTGAGAAGTATCAGGTCAATAACGGGTAATTTATCCACCATTGGAATGACATCCCTTCCGTCCTGTACGAATCCTTCAACAGAGCGTTTTTATAATTGTTCCTGATGTAAAATCAATATCTTGGTACATGTTGCATACGTTAAGTAAGACTTTTCAAAAATAAAAACAATTATAGCTTCATGTTAGAATCATGAATTACTTTCAATCTGTTGACCTTCTCAAATAACAAGGTCATTCCGTTAAGATGTCTGTTCCCCAGCGTTTTGATAAGTTTTATCATTGTAATATTATTGAAACCCACTCTACTACCACCAGAGGCTTTTAATCAGTATAACCTTAAGAGTTCTTTACGAAGTGTACGATAGATATTTGCATTATGTTCCCTGCCTTCTAAGTGCAAGTGTTTGCCCTGGTACTGGTTATCATAATTGTCGTAAGTTACAAGAATGGATAGATCGAGGACTTAGCTATTAACCATGTTTTTCTTGACAAACTAAGTATCAAGAAGAAATCCAGTTGACTCTTTGTCATGCTGAAAATGTGCAGCGTTCCATTGACTAGTTCGTAGCTGAGTAACTGAAATATAGAAATGCTAAAAGTTTTTGTCGTAGTTAATGTACTTTATCAACATTATTAGGGCAGTAGCCTCAAGTCTGTTTCCAGTTTTGAATATTTTCATGCATCTTTGTCATACCCCTCACTCTTACACATATTTTTTTTCATCGTAGTTCCGTTGCATTTCTGATTCCTTCTGTGGTCTTTCAAGGTATGATAGCCTGAACTTCTGAAGTGATGACAATCAATGGTGCTCGTCAAGGATGTTGCTATGATTGATTTTAGTGACTTAGATTGACTTGTTCCCAGTATAGACAGTTGTCCATTGAGAGTATGCAGATAATGTTATCCTTCTAGGTGAAGACTCTGGCAAAATGAAGAATGCTCTGATCAACTTAAGCAGAAATTTGAGTATATTTGATATGCAACTTGCCTCTGTTAAATGTAAGGTGATGCTGCAGAAATGATCTGCATCGATAGAAAAATGAAGTGGTTTAGCTTATTATTCCTAGTTCGGAAGCTTGTACTGTTGTATTCTTGCACAGCAGTATGCTCTGTCCTTCTTTATAGCTGTGAGACGTGGCTGTTGAAATTGAGAGTTAAAGAAGCTATCTCTCTTTCACCACAGCCGTGTTTACCTTTCATCTCCTGTGTTAAGATTGTGGAGCTTCGGTTGATTGCTAAGACTAGGGATTATGTTGGAGGGGAGAGTCAAAGGCAGCAAATTTAAAATATGGGATCAATCTTTGAAGTCTTTAACTTTTGGTTTGAGTCAGCCACATACAGAGATGTAGACTGTCCAGTTGGAATCCCCAAGATGCTAGAAATCATTTGCTTGAGACTATTGGCGATATAGCTTAATGGCGTTCACTTCTTGTAATGTCCCAGATCAATCAAGTCCTCATGTTTGTTCATGTAGGTGTGGTATGGAGTGTGGGAAGATGAACTGCTACTCTTTTGTACAAAGTTATATATCGAAAACAGTTAGTCAGTTACTTCTGTCTACACAGTCGTGTAGTTTACTCTAAATCAGACAGATGAATGTCACTAATTATTCTCTTAATTCTTTGCACTTTATCTCTTGCTGTCTTCCTTTCGAATATCATTTGTTGAGCATTAATGTTACGTTGGTAATCTTATTAATTACCATTTTTAAGTCACCAATACTAACATATCTGAAATAATCACTTATTTGTCCTTATCTCTATCTAGTGATAATTATAACGAGTTACCTTTTAGGATATTTTTCTTATTTTTTAAAAATTTTTATTGTGTGTCGAAGTTTGTGTAGCAGTTTGAGTGGTTTTGTGGGGTAAGGTCGCTAGCCCTTTTTACTCAGGCTTTGGACCGGCTAGCCAACTAGGCGAGGTTTGGCGAGTCTGCCACGATGTCTGTCTATGTTTAACTTCACACAAACTCGAAGACTTGCAGGCAGGTGAAAAGCAACAAACTGGTTAAAGAGAGGCAGTCAGTGAAGACAGGACTCCAGGTGAATATAGATAAGACGGAGGTAGTTGATGAAGATAAACAACCAGTAGCAACAACAATAACCAGCACTAATCACCATTAATGGGAGAGATTTAACAGAGGTTACTTCCTTCCTTCACTTATCTAGGAAGCACGGTCTCAACCATAGGCAGTCAGAACGGGTGAAGATGTCATAGCCAGTCGGCCAGTCAGAATCTGAAAGGCAAGATATGTCTTCATCAACCTGAAACCAGTTCGGAAATCTCCTGCTCTCAATCAGCCAGTATAAACAACGAGATTCGGATTCTATTCAACACAAACGTGAAGTCAGTCAGTCAGTGCTTCTGTACAAGTCAGAAATATGGCCAGCGTGTCACGACGAAAAGCATTTCCAACAAGTTGTAGACTTTCATCAACAGCTGGCTCCATACTGAAAATGAAATGGTCAGCCGGCTAAAAAGAATGTGCAACAATGAACTCTGGCTGGGAACAAACCAACTGGCGAGAGCCGATTGCTCAACAAAGATGGAAATGGACCGAGTAAACGTCTTGGAGATCGTCGAATCACGTCGTGCGCCAATCAGATCATCGCCACAAGTGGGTCGTCACTTCGAGAGTGATACGGAGGTCGTTTGGGTCGAAGGAGGAGATGAGAGATTGTGGGCAATCTTGTGACCAGCTGAAGAGGACAGCAGAGAGAGCGAAGAGAACAAAGTGGAGAGATGTGTTGTTGAAGCCTTATGTTTCACTCGAAACTTAAGGGAATAATAATGACAAGGGGTTTTAAGCAATAAGTTAATGTGAATAGTTACACTTTGTTTTTACATGGCTAGTTAAATTTACACTTATTTTGCCTTTCATGCCTTCTTGTCTAACAATTTTCTATATGTCTTGTAGCATTTGCCGATAATTATGTTGCAACCGGTTTTGGTGCTTATTTTGCCATTCCTATTTTGAGAGAATGCGTGGAGATAAAAGCGAAAGGCGATCCAAACAATATATCACAAGAAGATGCTGTCGCGGCAATAACAGGCTCTATGAAACAATTGTATTTACGTGATTGTCGGTAAGTGCCTTATGTATGTGGTGTTGTTTTTTTCAAATTAGAGAAATGCTTCATATTCTTTTTGTGAGAAGCAATAGTTTTCACCGTAGCTATCTATCCCTTTGTGTGACTTGATTACTGGAGAAGGTGTTGAAAGAGGGCAAGGTACCTGCGGATTGGAAGAAAGGATACTTATTCAAACTGCCAAAGAAAGGAGACTTGAGTCTATGCAAAAACTGGCGCGGAATTATGCTCCTGTCTATCTCAACCAAAATACTCAGCCGCATCATCCTGGAGAGAATCAAACAAGCCAACCTGGATGAAATACTTCGACCGGAAGAAGCTGGGTTCAGGAGAAACAAGTCATGTATTGATCAAATCGCCACTCTACGTATCATCATTGAACAAGGCTTGAAATGGCAGTCACCTCTCTATCTCAACTTCATCGACTTTGAAAAGGCCTTCAGTAGACAGCGTCGACCGAGAGGTGATTTGGAAACTACTTCGCTACTACCAAGGGGTGCCACCGACAATTATACATCTCATCCAACAGTTGTACGACAATTCTGCATTCCAAGTAATCCACAACGGGAAACTTACGGAATCCTTCAAAATGAGGACGGGAGTGAGGTAAGGCTGTGTACTATCGCCAATAATTCTCCTGATTGCAGTAGATTAGATAATGCGACGGACAGCAGAGGGGAATGAGGAAACATGCATAAAATGGACTCACACAGAAAAGGACTTGGAGGATCTGGACTTCTCCGATGATGATAGATGTCTGATTTCCCACAAACTCGAAGATATCCAAGTGATGAAAAGCAACAAGTTGGCCATAGAAGAAGCATCCAGAGAAGATAGGACTTCAGGTGAACATAGAGAAAACAGAGGTAGGTGATGAAGATTCCTGGCCAATGCCAACAGCAGCAACAGACAACAATTAGCATAAATGGGAGAAATCCGAAAGAAGCAATCTCCTTTACCTACCTGAGAACCATCGTTTCAACTACAGGCGGATGGAACTAATGAGGATGTCAAAGCAGCGAGGATCGGGAAAACAAGACAAGCTTTCATTACTCTCAAGCCTGTATTGGGATCAATAACACCCAGCATGAAAAATAAGATCCGGATTTTCAACTCCATTGTGAAGTCAGTCAGTGCTACTCACTATACGGATCAGAGACTTGGCGCGTCATAAAGAGCATCTCAAACAAACTGCAGACTTTTATTAACAGTTGTCTTCGCTCAATACTACTCAAGATCAGATGGCCGGTCAGGAAAGATCAGCCATAGTGAGGGATCTCTGGAAATGAGCTAACCAACTCAGAAGGAACCGATTGTGAAACAAATAGGCAGGAAGAAATGGAGATGGATTGGCTGGCCATACTCTGAGGAAACCATCAAGTGAGTGACATCACTAGACAAGCCATCGCTCGAATGGGAAGCGGCGAGTTGGTCGTCAGTGCAAGGACGGGGTGACTTGGAGGAGGTGATGTGAAGAGGAGATGAAAGCATGTGGGCAGACTTGGGGCGAGGTGAAAAAGTTGGCAGAAAACCGAAGGCAGTGGAGACGCGCAGCTGAAGCCCTATGTCCTTCTAGGAATTAAAGGATAAAGTAATAATAATAATCCCTTTGTGTATAATAAACTCTACATTCATTGTTCACTGTAGAGTAGTAGTAGTAACCGATGTGTGCGCTTACTCCCGCATTATGCTGATGAAATCCTATCACAGTCGATTTATACTGTGTGCGTCACCACCACATGACGTTTTGAAATAATGTTAGATTGTATTTGTGAAGTGAATTGGCGAAAAACCTTTCACCTAAGTATCATGTTTTAACTGGTACTTGTCATTATTTAAGCCTGCATCATCCACCACTGCTGCAGTTACCATTGAGCTATTCGCGTTTTGAATATCAAAGAGGACATTGACTCCTCCAGGGTTGCGGATACTCCTTTTTGATGAGTGCGCGAAATCCACGAGACCTAGTTACAGGGCATCCTCTCTATTGCCTTCAGTCATCTAATAAGTTTTATGTGAATACTGCGAGTAAATAAGGTATATTTTATTTTTACGAGTTGATCACGGATTGATATCAGTTGGAGAACCACTAAAAGCCAATGAGGGAGTACTGGACAGTTGTTTCATCCCCCTAGTTTGGGAATCATCGGCAGTACACGCACGCATATCACGGGGTTCAAAGCCCGGACCTTCCGGTTATACAAGACAAGCTGGCTCGCATACCATTCAGCCACCGGGTTCTCAAACTGATATCAATCCGTGATCAACTCGTAAATACAAAACTAATCCTTACAAACCAACGATAGAAAATTAATCTAATGCTCGCTAGTGAACTTGCTACAGGACAGACGGAGTTTCCTGGAGTTCTAGTGCGAAGTTGTGACCAGTGAGGTCTATCCAGTCAAGTGTATGAGGATGGTTGTCCTACCGATGACATTGGTTGGTGCCAGTCCCGCTAAATGCATCACGAATCGGTAGAAGTTAGAATTCATGCACACTGGCCATCGAGTGGGGTTCCACTGGCTGAATGGTATACGAGCCAGCTAGGTGTGTGTACTGCCGATGATTCCCAACCTAGGATGTGACAGTTGGCTTTCAATGCTTCTCTAACTGATATCGATCAGTGATCAACTCGTAAAAGCTAAACTAATCCTTACAAACCAACTATAGAAAATATATTTTATTTGTATAATTAGTTAATTGTAATACTTTGAACCTTTGTAAAAAAAATCTTTGAATGAAAACTCAAACTTTGCTCTTGTTTTATTTGTCTTTGTATTGTGCTTGTAGTGCATTCGATACTTATCAAATGGCTGTTGTAACTAAAGATGGTGTACAAATTCATGGTCCATTAAAATTGAAATGTGATTGGTCAATCGCTGAATACGTTCATGGTTATGACTAACTGCATATATCTTTATATTTAAAGTCTTTCCTAACATGGGAAATAAATAAATTTCTGATTCATTATTGTGTTGTTGTTTGTGAAAGTTTGTCATTAGTAGTTTACGTTATATTTGTGTACTTCGTCAGTGGTTCATTGGAGGGATTGCTGTCCACCTATGTGAAGGAGTTTTGTGAGTGTGATTCCAGGCCCAATGAACTCTTAAACTCCGCCTTGCTCACTAGCTGAGAGTAAGTGCCAAACAATGGTGTGATAGAAGTTCACTTTGCCAGTTGACCAGTCTATGCATTGCGAATCCACTGTAGTAGTAGGTCTGAAAGTTTCACCGGCAGAAGAATAGCCAGGTGTAAACTTGTATATCTTAACCTCCTACTGTATATATATACAACAGAATTAAGTCGGCCTGCTCCAATAAGTGCCCTTTTTAGATGGACAATAAACCATATCTATTGTGTGAGAGGTTAGTGATACATTCTACCTAGCTACCAAGACTTCACTGGTAGACGAAATAACGATCGCTGACGAAATCTCAGTACGGACACAGAAGGTTCGTTCAACATACACCATCTCTCGCGTAGACGTGACATCTGGCTGGCTGCCGACCAAAGTATGTGTATGCTGCACGATAGTAGTTCACTCCGTCCTCCTTTATCGCTGTAAGTGAGATATGGCCATTGAAAGTAGAAGATATGAAAAGCCTAGCTAGTTGTCTTTGATCACAGGTGCTGCCGTTCTACCTCCTTTGTTGAGTGGTATAATAGTGGTGAGCAATATTGAGGTTTGACTTCGGTCGAGTGCTAGTTGGATGATGGGAGGAGTAGTCAATCGATAAAGTTGTGAATTTACAACGACTGAGATGGTTAGGGCATGTATTACGCGTGCCCAGCCACCGACTGCCTCCCTCGACGACGGGTGATGTTAGACTCTGACATAGGATTGATCAAGCTCGAAAAGAGTTAGGCAGTGGTGGTTAAACCAAAACATGGCTTCACCATTTAATGAAATCCACAACAGTTAGTTTAAGCCAGCCAGCCACGTTTGGAGGTGTAGATTGCCAGTGGCGTTGGGGTCCTCAGGATGGTATGAACCAATGACTGTTGTAGACAATTGGTGATATGGCTCAAAATCGTCGATGCATTCACTACTCTTTGTGATTTACCATATCTAATAGAGCTCTATTGTTCCTCCATGTTACTATACTTTTTGCTCACTCACACTTCTGTTTTGAATCCTGTATTCTCTTGCTTTATGTGGTGGTATGTACGGAGGGAGAGTGGGAACTGGAACTGCTGCGCATCTGTGCAAAGTTCTATGTTGAAACCAATCAGTTATTATTCCCTTGGGTTCCGAATGGAACATAATGGCATCGGCAGCATATCACCATTTGTTTTTGTTCTCTGTGGCTTTTTTTAGCTAGTTCCATAGTTGTGCACAAACTTTCATCTCCTCCTCAGACGATCTTCTTCATTTCACCTTCGAAGTGATGCTCAAAACTCGTCGCTTCCTATTCAGGTTCCGCTCGAACAAAAATCTACTCATGTGTATTATCTTTTTCTCTCACAACACCCATTAGGATTTCGATGTCGACATTTGGCACCTAGTTCATTAATATTCCCACTGAATAAAAGCCTTCGATACTGTTGGTGTTATCATGATAATGACTACCTCAGTGTATTCTTGGTTGTCGTCTGAGTGACTGTAGATGCCGCTGTTGCCCTGCATCATAATATAGTCTCTAGTTTAGGTAAAGGAGCTAAATACGTTCGCTGTGCCTTCCTTGATTACACATCTGCATTTGACTCTGTTCCCAGGTCTCTCTTGCTAAGTAAGCTTGCTGCAACACAGACTAAGAGCTGGACAGGTAAGCGGCTGCATTCCTATTTTTCTGGTAGGAAGCAGTACACCGTCTACAATGGAAAGTCCTCCACTGCCTCACTTACTTTAGCTGGTGTTCCTCAAGGTGCTGTTCTTTCTTCTTTCTTACATGACTTGCCCCATTCTGATGTAGCCACTTTTATAAAGTATGCTGATGACCTCTGTTTCTCTGCCTGTCAACTCTCAGTCGGATTGTTCCAAATTAAATAACTTTCTGTCGGAAATTAGTCAGTGGTCCTCTACAAACGGTCTTAAACTGAATTCATCTACATATCAGGTAGTCAATTTCACTTTCAGACAAAAACGTGACCTACAACAACTAGCTAGCTCACATGGCCCCACTATCATTGACGGCATAGAGGTTGAAATTACATCTAATGTCAAGTATCTTGGGCTGAGTATTTCCACCGATCTTTCCTGGTCCTCCCACATCTTGCTAGTTACTAGAAAGATGTTTCTCTTAACGTTATACGTCAGGAAGTTAAGGCAGTCTGGTATAAAGCAGTCTTTGCTTTCTCAGTTTGTCAATTCCTGTATTCTACCCATCCTCCTTTACTGCTCCCTATTAATCTTTCCTGAACTACTTAAGAAAGACTTTGCTTTGCTGAGAAGGACAGGCACTAAAAGCCGTTAGTAGGGCGAGTGGGATATGGTTAAACCAACTGGTTAACATTATTGTGGATAGACATATAATGTCATGTAAGAAACTAGCGAATACAATATTATCAGACCCCGAGAATCGTCTCTATACGCAGCTCTCTCCTTGTATTTCATCTGGTAGAACTAGAAGCAGCTATAGGAGGCTACATGCTAGGACTACCAAGTGCGAAAACTCCACAATACCATATCTGGCACAGCTGTTGTGTGGTGATGAGAAATCCGTTAGGTATGACACGATCAACTTACTGCGTCACTCTAACAAATAGTCCCATTGATTTTTGTTTTCCTTCGTTACTATTATATTGTTGTTCACATCCTTTATTACACACTAATTTTATATTTCATATCCTGTGGTGCATTGTTTCAAATGTAAACGCAACACTGTCCCTTTTATTTATTTATTTATCTTCTTTTTTTGGGTGTTACTTTTTGATTTTAAAATCTTATGAAATTTATGAGGTAATTAGATGCAATATATATTGTAATGCAGGTTGAAAATTCCATACCTGTACCACAAATACTGTTTGGAATAGAGCTGTTATTATTAGTAGTAGTAATAGTAGACTATTAATTGTCCAGTTAACGACTACTTACTTGGAGTATCGACTTCCATTTCATCTGTTTTCACAAATTCTTTGAACTTCTATGCCCTATCTCCTCAATTTATTTTTGCAATTAGGGCAGCCTTACCTCAGCTTCGAACATCGTGTGGATATTCCATGTCGTTATGCTCAATTTTGCTTTCATCGAATGAAAATATCAGCTGACTGACTGGCTTCTTGGTGACCTTCGCCAACTTTCATCATTTTATCTCTCCAATTCCAGAGAGGTTCTTGCAGCTATTGGGTTGATTTTTTGAGATAAGGTCGCTACTCCCTCGTTGTCTTTTTCCGGGCTTTAAACTGGTTGGTCGACTGGTACATTAGCTAAGGTTCAAAGTTAAGTTTATTATTATTATTGTATCCTTTAGTTCCTAGAGGAACATAGGGCTTCAGCTGTGCACCTCCATTGCCTTCTGTTTTCTGACAACTTTTTCACCCCGCTCCAGGTCTGTCCACATGCTTCCATCTCCTCCTCGCATGACCTCCTCCAAGTCACCCCGCCCTCGCACTGACGACCAACTCGCCGCTTCCCATTCGCTTGGGTTCCATTCGAGCGATGGCTTGTCTAGTGATGTCACTCACTTGATGGTTTCCTCAGAGTATGGCCAGCCAATCCATCTCCAGTTCTTCCTGCCTATTTGTTTCACAATCAGTTCCTGCTGAGTTGGTTCGCTCATTTCCAGAGATCCCTGTTGCTGATCTTTTCTGGCCGGCCATCTGATCTTGAGTACTAGAGCGAAGACAACTGTTAATGAATGTAGATTAAAAGGCTAGCGACGAATAACAATAGACATGTAGTGGTTTATAAAATTGAGTTATGCTAAATGCCGGCCAGTCTTTGTAGAGGCTGTGTGTGTGTAGTGCTTAGCAATTCATCCTGTCCTTTATAGCTGTTGTAAATGAAAAACCGCACATTTCTGCTTTCTACCCCCACGTTAAGCGGTACAATATAGTTGATAATATTAAGGTTTGGCATAAAGTATATTATTATTATTGTTCTTTCGGGTTCCTAGTGGTACATATGGCTTCAACTCCTCGTCTCCACTTGCCACTTCTGTCTTGCTTCTGCTGTACTTTTCACCTCCATCCTTGTTAGTTAGTCCATACTGCTTCAACTCCTCTTCACACGATCTCCTCCTCCATGTCACCCACTCTTGCACTGACGACCCACTCGCCACGTGCTTCCCTTTCGGCCTGGTTCCACTCGAGAAATGGCCTGACGCGCGCGCAATGTCACACAGTGGCCCCCTCAGCGAGTAGTGTCCAATCCACTCTTCTGTCCACTTTCTCCTGCATATTTGTTGGTTGGCGATTGGTCCTTGTTTTGTTTGTTCCCATAGTTGGTGATTCTTTCGGACCAGGCCATCTCACTGATCTTCAGTATAAAGTGAAGACAGTTGTTGGTTGATAAAGGTCTGCAACAGGCTGATGGAAATATTCTTCGTGACCCGCCCGCCAAGTTTCTGTCTGATTCGTATAGAAGAACTGACTGACTTGACGTTTGTATTGAAAACCCGACGGAATTTTATTGTTGATTCTGGCTGAGTGACGAAGATTTCCAGATTGGTTTCAGGTTTCTCGTTCGCCTTCCCGATTCTCGTTCGATTTGACATCCTCGTCCGTTCTGACTGTCTGTAGTTGAGACAATGCTCACTAGCTAGATAAGTGAGTGAATGAAGTAACCTCTTTCAGATCCTCCCGTTGATGGTGATTGGCACTGGATGTTGTTGTTAGTTGATTGGTTGATTATTTCATAACCTCCGTCTTGTCTATATTCTCACCTGGAGTCCTGTCTTCGCCGGCTGCTTCTTCGACAGTTTTTCGGTCGGTTTTCGCTTGTAAGTCTTCGATTTTGTGACAGTG